CAAGTTAGTTTCCTCGTTGATATTCACGTGTAGATGGAGCTTCATATAAAGTAATAACCGTAGAATTGGCTTATAGGTCCCTAGGCTACGTTTTTTAATGTCACAGAAATTAAATGTCACAGAAAGTAAAGCATATATGAATTTTTATTTATAAATTCATATTTAAATTAACATTTTAGTTATTTTTCATTCAAAATGCCGTTTTTTAGTTATCAATACTTATTTATGGGTTATTATAAGCACTTTTTAACATAGTGTTGTCACACATTTTTTTCGAGAAATTAAGGAAAAATAGAAAAATTAAACATTACAAAATTAATAAAAATATTTTCCGATTTTTTATATTGTTTTCAATTATTTGATTTATATATAAAGTTTTTGTTTTAATTAGAGCAATATTACCATATTTAAACTAAGAAATTGGATATATTATCAGTTTTCGGAATTCATCAAATCGATCAGAAACGATTCCGATTCCGATCGTGTTGAAACCATTTCGATCGGAATATTTGAGATGACTGATAGAACAAAGATATACTGGCATGTCACATGAAATGAATTCCGATCGAAAGTGGAATTTATACCGTTTTTATCACGTTAAAAAACGAATTTTTTTCTGAATGATGTAAAGAAAATGTTCTGTTTATTTAAAAATTCACATTTAGTCCCAATTTAGATTAGGCGAGTTTACTTGCGGCAAGTTTTTGTTTGCTGGAGAGAGGCAAGGGGAATAGAAATTAATAGAATAGAATTAAAAAAAATTGTTACAAACTGTCAAAAAATATTTTTGAAACGAATTGCCTTGTATAGACGCATGAAGCAAGTTCAAAAGATAACGATTAGAATGAATCCAATTTGTTCATAATTTTATTATTGACAACATTCAGCTATCAAAATTTAAATGAAAATATTTATTACAAAATGTTAAATATTTTGAAGTTCCCTTCCTCTATAATCTAAAAGTATAAGTTGTAACATCTATAGTTATATCTTAAGAACAATATTAACCAAAAAAAATAAGACATTTATTTACAGTAATTATACATTTTCAATTTTTTAAAAAATATGGCATTCGACATGCATAAAATTTTATGGAATTTATTTTTCAAACCATTTGAAATTGATAAATGAGTTCCATATTAAAAAGGGTTGCCAATAATAATTTCTCAAATGAGACTACCTTCTGTAATTATGCCATGGCCACAATATGAATAAAATTTAATTTATAAGTTGTCCTACCTTAAATAATTGTACCATGGGTGTATTTATCAATTGTTGTGAAAATATCCATACCTTTTATTATTATTCCGTGATGTTAAGTAAATAAAAAGAGCACGATTTAATCCTCTAACTTTTAAAACTACTTTTAAATTCGTAAGACATTTTCCACAAAATAAATTGTACACAAATGGAGACAAAATCAACCGACTGCCATACGTAACTATGAAAGATTTACATTTAGCGTTGCCAACTAACAAATATCAACACTAACTTTTACAAGTTGGCAACATTTATAATTTCAACGAATGTTGCTGAATTACAGGGTTGTATTGTGTATGTCTCTAATGTTGCCATATTATTTGATACATAGAAGAAAAACTGGGATTGCTGCCAATGTGATGCCATATTATGCAAACTAATCGGCAAACGGGAGGAATACAAAGAAACTAGAAAAATCCATATAAATCAGATTCCATTCAATATTTTTAACTTGTTATCTTTTGTCAACAAAGAAAAAACAAAAATTTTGAGAGCAATGTTCAGCTTTACAACGTTATCAAAAATCCAAATATTTCATATTCATTTTGAAATATTCATATTTTCTTTATTTTGTCAACAAATGAAAAAAAATACGTTCTGTCATAGTTGAATTTTTTTCAACTTTAAAAATTCGTACGTCGACGTATTTCGGTAACATTCATATAAATACATGTGTTTTACTTTTGAGGTGAATAACGTCGAACGAGCTAGTGGAATTTTAGGTAGGTCTGTTAGAAATTAATTTAGTTTAGTTTATTAAAAATCGACATACATAAAGGTTTATGGAATTTATATTTCATTACATTTGAAAATGATATATGAATTCCAAATGAAAAAGAGTTGCCATCATCAAATTCTTAAATGAGACTACCTTCTGTAATTATGTCATGGCCATGCGATTGAATTTTGAATTTAATTGAAATGTAAATCATTTGTTATACATAGCTTTCGTCTGAATGAAATAAATCTATTGTGGGCAAGGGAAACATTAAAAGTTTTACCCAACTGGAAAGAACTTTTTAACCTCACAGTGACAAATATCCACCGGTATTATTTACAACTTAATTGCGATTGAAATTCAATTTACACTTTACGCGCAAGTTTGCTTATTTAGATAGCCATCGTAAGATTTTGAGATCATGAGACGCCACACAGCTATTGTCCATAGAAAATTAGTACTTCAACATACAGAACTAGGAAAATCTCTGCGGAAAATCGCCGAAATACTCAATCTGCTGTCAAAAAAATATATTGAGGCACAAAAGCGAGAATCGATTTTGCCAAACAAGCCGAAAACCAGCGAGAAAAATGTTCAATATAAGAGACGAAAAGTGGTTGCTCCGACAAGTGGCCGGTAATCCAAAGCTAAGTGACCTAAATTTTCTGAAATCACAGAGAAATATATGGAAAAGAAATGTAACCCAGAAATAATTCGAAGAATTTTGTGTGATCATGCACTCAAAAAGCCATTCATAGACCCCTCAAAAACAGGAAAATCCGATTGGTGTTCATTCAGGAACACGGAAAATGGATTTTGAATTTTTAGTAATCCGTTATTTGTGCTGATGAAAGCAAATTTAACTTCTTTGGTCGGGCTGTGAACCCTAAGCACACAATTCAGACTTTAAAGCAGGAAGGAGGCTCTGTAATGGTATGTGGCCGTATGAGCGCTGCTGGAGTAAGAAATCTCGTTTTTATTAACCCTTTGAGCACCGAATTTTTTCCGTAATCATAGAACAATTTTCTGTTCACAGATTTAATACAACTATCCTAGATAGGATATGGACAAATTTTGACATCGCTACATCCTTGCATTCGGGAGATACAGTACATTCTTTCTGAAAAATATAAGCCCAATATCAAGAAAACCAAATGCAAAATCGACGAAAAAATAATTTTTAATTATTCTCTATATTCTGTTTTACAAGAATGAAAAATAATTCTGACGGCAGAGTTCGTATATTTCAAATATGAAGCGATTTAAATAATTTGGACTGTATACACAAATTAGTACTGTACACATTTTTGCCCTCTTCTCCATATTAAAAAGCTCATAACTTTACCAAAATTTTGAATTTTGTAGATTATTCTTGTGATATGTGTCGTCCATAATCAGGCCTTGACGTATGCAGTATAAAGTATATATATCTACTAGCAGTATATTAAATATTAGCTCTAAAACATTTTGTTGGCTGTGGGCAACATTGGGCCATAAAGGGTTAAGTGGCCCACACACGTCAAACATGTACGTTCGATCGGTGTGAATCGAAGCAATGTTTGACGTGTGTGGTACGGTGTTCACACCAATTTGCCGGTGCGCACACCGATCGAAAGAAATTTTTTTATTTTTCGTTGTGCGACGCGCACATGTTTGACGTCTGTGGCCTGGTGTGTGGATATTTTCTCATTTGTTGCGAAATTTCGTGGAGTGCGGATCAGCGGACAAATGCAATACATATGCATTTGGAAGATTTTTTGATGTTTTTTACACATATTCTACTGTGTAGCAAATAAAAATGTTTTTTTCCCGGAATAAAATAAAAATATTTAATACATTTATATTAAATAAAAATATTTCGTCTTTTTCCGTCATCACTATCGCGGTCCATCTTCACGCTTCAAAAATAAATATGAAATGAAGTTTAGTGGATTCGTTTGACGTGTGTGGGCTAGGAGCTTCACACCGATCGAACGCACATGTTTGAGGTGTGTGGCCCACTTTAAAGGAATTGTGGATAAGATTTTTTATTTAAATATTATAAGCGCATTTAAAATGTTGTACTGAAAAATTGGGGACATTTTTTTACATTTTAAACTCCTTGTACATTAGAACTTTTTACCGGGTTAACCTACTTTATGAGGATTTATTTGACATATATGCAAAGGAAATGACAATTGAAACCCACTGGGTTAACGAAATCCGGTTAAATGTAAACGTACTATTATCAAGATAATGACTCCAAACAGAAGTCGCACACCCGCAATTTAATATTTTGAAAAATGTAAGACAAATATTCAAAAATTCAGTTATTTAAAAGATGAATTTTACAACGTGCGTAAAAAAATCTATGATTTAAACGACATGTACACTAGAACTTTTTCACCGGGTTAACCTACTTTATGAGGATTTATGTGACATATATGCAAAGGAATTGACAATTGAAACCCACTGGGTTAACGAAACACGCTTAAATGTAAACATACTATTATGGAATAAATCAGTATGCAAATAATTTTCTCAACTAGTATTTGAAAAGAAGCTCTGACATTCCAATATTTGTTAAGGTTTTAATATAATATTTCAAGTAAATATGTTGTTGCATTTGTTTTTTATTTATTTTGACATACAAGAGCATTTGCCCTTTCTTATTATGATACTTATTTCGTTTAAATTCATTTGATTTTTTAATTACTTCTTATAGAACCTGCAAGAATTTACAAATTTAATTTGTTTTATATTCAATTTATATTTAATGAAAATACATACACACCCTTTACTCCTTACCCTCTTTTGTTATTGTTTTCCTTTTTATGTTAAATATTAATTTACCTACGTCTACAGTTTATTTTAAATACATATCCTTTTATAAAATAACACAAAATTCACCTAATAATTACCTTACACCCAAAATTCCCTCATCACCATATGTTTCCACAACGATCTGGCAACACGAAAAAACTTAACGCTGTGGCTGAATTGCGTGCTGACATAACTTAACGTCAATGGGAAAATGAACGAATCAGCACCACAAGTCAACCATCTTTGCAAGTATTACGTCTAGAGAGGGCTGGGTGTATAAGAAGTAAATCCGTTTTTTCTGCAAGCGACAAGAAATAAAAAGTTAATTTTAAGTCAAAATGTCGATGATTTCTGCTCGTTTGGCTACATCTGTGGCCCGCAATTTGCCAAAGGCCGCTCAACAGGTATTAATTTAAACAAATTGGATAAAGCAAAAAAAAAACAATTGAAACCAGAAAAAATTATAAAAGAAAAAATGTGCAAAAATTTCTTTGCCGACAACCGACGACGAGTGTGTGAAAAATTCCTGTAAAGAGAACGTGAAAATAGTTGTGCAATCAAAAACTCAAAGACCAAACCCGAACACAACGCAATGTAAAGTGATTTTAAAGTAACTTTCAACAATTAAAAGTGCAGTTTTGTAAATTTTTCATGGATTTTTAAAGATTTGCCGATAATGTTACGCAACCTTTGGTTAGGTTTATTGGCTGGCTGATGAGTGAGTGGCATTGAGTTTAAAAAAAGTTGGAAAGAGTAAAGGAGCTTAGTTGATGGAAAGAAGTGTTGTGAAAAGTTATATAATTTAAGAGTTTTAATGATTTTTCCCCTCATTTGGAGGAAAATTCTAAGCACAGTTTATAAGTTTCCTTTCAAGTTACATAATGTTCAAGAAGACAGCTAAAATTTTTGCGGCACTTTTCCCCCTCTTCTTCATTAACGGCCGCTCGGCTCTCTTCCATTGATTCTTTTGCTCTCTCCATGTCACTCTCACAAATGGCCCGGTTCTTGTGTTGTTTTTCTTTTTCTCAACTAACTCAGCTGTCAAAAATCACATAACTGCCAAGAGAAAACGAAAAATGCCTACATTCGTCGTGTTGAGGTTAGGTTATGTCCACATTTACATTTTATGGAAAATATCGATACATTGTTGGAAAAATGTAAACTTTTAAAGAAAATATTGATTTTTTCTAATCAGAGTAAATCATTACATTGTAATTTTGCAAATTTTATTGCAGTTTTTTTTTCTTCTCTGTTATGTATCAGTGGTGTGCTGCGAGTGTGTTTGTTGGTTGTGTGTGTGTGTGTCGGAATAGAACACAACCAACAACTGCATGTGCTGCCATATTTTTTTTTTTTACTGCTGCTAATGGTTATTCAACTACCAGATTAGACTTTTTTCGGTCAAATCTTACATAAGTGTAATTTATTTGTGAATATTCCATAAAATCTATGAAGAAAATGTTTGCAATTACTTGTAATTTATCGGAAAAATTGTAAAATTTTTGCACATTTTTTGTATTTACTTATTTTTTGGCAATAATTTTAGTTTGTAAGAAGCCGGCATTAACATTGTTAATAATCTTAAAGATCACTCACTCATCTAAATTTATAACATTGAAGCCATTGTTATGATTTTTATACAATTTAATTTATTTTCTTGGCACTTGACCAGAAGTTTTTACTTAGTTTTTTTTTTAACTTTTTCCGGTATCTTATTGGATTATGTCACATTGCATGGGGCAAATAAGAAAGAAAAAACATGCCCCCAATGTTCTTCCCCATAGTTGATGAGTACTTTGTGCCTACTTCCAATAAGTTATTCTAGAATAAAAGAAATATTTTTCCAATAGGGGCGAATTAAAATAAAATCTGTCTGGAATTTATTTATTATTATTTGTTTTTTTTTTTTTTTTTTGAAATTATAATAAATTAGGGAATATTTCATATGATTTCGACATAGTATTTATCATTTTTTTTATAAATTTAATAAAATCTATATTTTTTTATAAAACAACAAACTAGCATTACCCCAGTTTATTTTAGAATAACAAAACATTTAAATTTTATGTTGAGGGATTCATGAAATGCTAGATTTGTTTATTACATACCTATGTAGGTACCATGATAGGTACATCCTGAAATGTTTTTTCTGAAAAATATACACAATTTAATGACTAACAATTACTTATATTCCGATTTATAAAAAATTTAATATTAATTTATATATACTTCACATACGATAGATATAAATTGACAACGCCTATTTTATAGTCTACAACCCGTTTTCTACTCCTGTCCATAAAACAAATTCAACAGAAGCACTTTATTTTGGAGAGCTAGAATATAAATCCAGCCTTTTGTGACCTTTTTTAAAAAAAATGAAATTCATTAAATAAATTTTTAAATTAATGTTAAGTATTTTCAATAGAACAACGATTAACTCTTAAAATAAACTACATATTTTCTACAACGACTTTCAACAAAAAATCGTTTGTGACACTATGGTTCGATTGTGACACTATGGGTGTCTTAAAGTTCACATCCTCCTCACGTGGAGGAGGAGGATGGGAACTTTGAGTTATATTACTTTGAGTAAGATATTTCGTAAAAACCTACCTAGGTGCATCATAAGTCTCCCTTTTTTTGTCCGAAAGGTTGCCATATAATATTTTTATAACCTTCACAACTATGTTGAAGGGGTATTGTAGCCATTGTGTGGCCTAAGAGTTTGTAGCAACGCCAAATATTGGTCCGTCCTAGACCAACATTTACTTCCGAAGGGCATAGATTGAAGAAGTTGGCATTATATTCAATATATATCCTTTATATTGATACCAATTATAATGTTGTGTGTGCTCCGATATAAATACTTACAGGGGTTTAGTATTACCATTACCAGACTAGAGCGAAATGAAATCACCCTATATCGCAAGCGAACTTATTGATAAGTTTTGTCCGATCCATCTAATAATATTTAGCAACAATACTAACATTTATGTTGACTTCTTGTGTGAATATTTTTCCCCCAAGAAAGTATTTTCTAAAACATTGTGGACATATATTCATATTATAATATTTCAAAATAATGAAATTAGTTAATTTTTTTATTATATCTACTGTAGAATTACTCTAAAAGAAAAATAACATGCATGAATTATTAATTCAAAATTTTCTTACATTCTGTAGATAAATACTGCTTTATATTGCACGCCACAAGCGCTTGTTTTCTTCCACCCCAAATATCCTTTGGCATGTGCACTGTGCGTCAAATTTGAATTACAGCCTCATTTGATGCAATTTTTTTAAACTTGCCAAAATTAATTTGTTGGCAAACTTTTATTCATTGATTTAGTCACATCAAGACTTTATCAATTGTATAGGAATTGTCACAATTGCAAATATAAAATGCAATATATTAAATAATTCCCTTAAACTTCAAATAGAAATATATCCTTTTGATAATCCCACTCCCCTTAGCACAGCATGCCAGTAGAATATCTGAAAAGTATAAACATTCTATATAACAAAATGTAGTTTACTACGAATTTCGTAAATGCTTTAAATTTGCACGCCAAAAAAACGCTTGTTTCCACCTGAACTTCCTTTGGCAAGTGCACTCTGCGTCAAATTTGAATACAGCCTCATTTGATGCAATTTTTTAAACTTGCCAAAATTAATTGGTTGGCAAACTGTTATTCATTGATTTAGTCACATCACGACTTTATCAATTGTATAGGAATTGTCACAATTGCATGTACAAATTAAATGTAAAATTAGAAATAAATCCTTTACTCTAACCTCAATTAGATATATTTCCTTTTAAATCCTTTCCCTCAAACATTTCATGCCAGTAGAATTGTAGCAATATCTTACAATTATTTAAAAACTCTCCCCAATAATTATATCTGTAGATGTAGTTCATTGCCTCATATTCCTAACCTCAAACCTATATTTCCCAGAGTTTCTATCAAAAGTGATAAAATTACCCCTCTTTTCATCCACAAAATCTCTTCAATCTTTAGCAAGTAGAAAATTTAGAAATGCTTTTAATAATGCTTCTTCTGTGTTTTCCTAACCTCAAAATTCAAACTCTGTAATTTCTTTAATAAAATATATATTTTCGTAGATAGTATGACCGATAGTAGTATTGATTCTAAAATATCTGCCTTCTCTTTTTCTAAAACGTAAACATTCTGAATGTAAACTTTTCATAGTATGTCAGCTGTGTAATTTTTTTCTAATTGTTACAGTAGAGATAATTTAACATTTATTATAACAACAAATTGTCCATGCCAGGACTTACGTAACAAAATACATACGATAGACAGTGTATATTTTTTAGATTACCTTCACTTTAATACATCACAAATCATCTGTTCCATAGCTTAGAATACACAATCGTAACCAAAAACCCTCTGTTTCCTTCATTAAAAAAACTTTTACTAATTCGATTCCCTTTTAACCAAAACAAATTTCTAGATCGCTGCCAAAGCCGCTTACCCAGCTGCAACTCTAGCTGCACGTAAACTCCATGTCTCCAGCACACAACGCAGCGCTGAAATCTCTTCCATTTTGGAAGAACGCATTATGGGCGTTGCCCCCAAGGCCGATTTGGAAGAGACTGGCCGTGTGTTGAGCATTGGTGATGGTATCGCTCGTGTCTATGGCTTGAACAACATCCAAGCCGATGAGATGGTAGAATTCTCCTCCGGTTTAAAGGGTATGGCTTTGAATTTGGAACCCGATAACGTTGGTGTTGTCGTCTTCGGTAACGATAAGCTCATCAAGCAAGGTGATATTGTCAAGCGTACCGGTGCTATTGTCGATGTCCCCGTCGGTGATGAATTGTTGGGCCGTGTCGTTGATGCTTTGGGTAACGCTATTGATGGTAAGGGTGCCATCAACACCAAGGACCGTTTCCGTGTCGGTATCAAGGCCCCCGGTATCATTCCCCGTGTCTCTGTACGCGAACCTATGCAAACTGGTATTAAGGCCGTCGATTCCTTGGTACCCATTGGTCGTGGTCAACGTGAATTGATCATTGGTGATCGTCAAACTGGGTAAGAGATAAACACAGGGAGAAAAAGAAAATCATTATTTAAAGAAAACCAACAATTTCATTGTAATTCAATTATTTTTAACTTCTTTTTTCGCCCCACTCTCTCGACGTACAGCAAAACCGCTTTGGCTATTGATACCATCATCAACCAAAAGCGTTTCAACGATGGTCAAGATGAATCCAAGAAATTGTACTGTATCTACGTTGCCATCGGTCAGAAGCGTTCCACCGTCGCCCAAATTGTCAAGCGTTTGACTGATGCCGGCGCCATGGACTACTCCGTCATTGTCTCCGCCACTGCCTCCGATGCCGCTCCCTTGCAATACTTGGCTCCCTACTCTGGCTGCGCCATGGGTGAATACTTCCGTGACAAGGGCAAGCACGCCTTGATCATCTATGACGATTTGTCCAAACAGGCCGTCGCCTACCGTCAAATGTCCCTGTTGTTGCGTCGTCCCCCAGGTCGTGAAGCCTACCCCGGTGATGTCTTCTACTTGCATTCCCGTTTGTTGGAACGTGCCGCCAAGATGTCCCCCGCCATGGGTGGTGGCTCCTTGACTGCCTTGCCCGTCATTGAAACCCAAGCCGGTGATGTATCCGCTTACATTCCAACCAACGTCATTTCCATCACTGACGGTCAAATCTTCTTGGAAACTGAATTGTTCTACAAGGGTATCCGTCCCGCCATTAACGTCGGTTTGTCTGTATCCCGTGTCGGTTCCGCTGCCCAAACCAAGGCCATGAAACAGGTCGCTGGCTCCATGAAATTGGAATTGGCCCAATACCGTGAAGTAGCTGCTTTCGCCCAATTCGGTTCCGATTTGGATGCCGCTACCCAACAATTGTTGAACCGTGGTGTTCGTTTGACTGAATTGTTGAAGCAAGGTCAATACGTACCCATGTCCATTGAAGATCAAGTAAGTATTTGGAGAAGAGATGAGCCTCCTCACCCACCCATTGAAAAAAAAAAAAAATTATTAATCACACCCACACACTTTTTTCCTTCTGCCTTAGGTTGCTGTTATCTACTGTGGTGTCCGTGGTCACTTGGACAAGATGGATCCCGCCAAGATCACCAAGTTCGAAAAGGAATTCTTGCAACACATCAAGACCTCCGAACAAGGTCTTTTGGACCAAATCGCCAAGGAAGGCAAGATCTCCGAATCTGCCGATGCTAAGTTGAAGGAAGTCGTCACCAAATTCTTGTCCACCTTCCAAGGTTAAACAGCATCAACAAATAAATTCACACAATAACCTACCATCGTCATTTAAGTAAAAAACGCGTAGTTTTAACAACAACCAAAGCTACCTTGCATACACACACCAATACAACAACAACACACAGTGTGTTCCATCATCGGTGTCGTCTCACGTTATTCTTGTAATTTAAAATATAAAATATCGTTAAACGATTTCACTTAAGGCAAAGAAAAAACACAGAAACGTTAAAGCAGATTTAGAAACAAACACTCTTTTAAAAAGAATGAATGAATGAAAAAATAGTCACTTGCTAAAACAACAAACAAACAAAACGTTAAGTTAAACAACATTGAATAACAAACAATAAAATATAAAAAACTTATAAAAATCGAAATTTCCAAAAAAATCTTAAAAATTTCCACAAAAAACTTTCGTTCATGTTTTCCTTATTCTACTTTGTTATTATACCACCCACCCAGCAATGCCCCCTGAGCAGTGGCGGCAGAGAGATAAAAACACGAGGGCTCGAATGATGCGAAATCGAACAAAGGCCAACAACATTTTGGAGAATTCTTTACCCCATCCCTCACACTAACATCATAAACAAGATCTATGAGAGAGCGCGCCTAAACGAGGGGGCAGGCGAAGTATTTCTTTTCACAAATGTTGTTAGCCGACGATTTGGATTTTTGTTTTATTTCCCCAAAAAAAAAAAAACTCGACAGTTCGTTTAAAACGAATTTATTTAAAAATGTTGCTTTTTTTAGAAAGAAATGAAAAACAATTACTCTTACAATAAAGATTGAAAAACAAATTTATATATTAAATAAAAAAATATAATTACATCATATGTGGAGCATGTGGATGTTAAAAATTAAAAACACATTAAAATTACTACTGATAAACGATAATAAATATAATGGAATATCCTTAAAGTTAAACAAAAATTACACCACTCTAAAAACTTTGTGTTTTTATTTTAAATGTTTTTTTTTTCAAGATAAATTTCTAGAATGTTATATGAGGGTGTTTGATAAGCGTGTTCTCTTACGTAAACAAAAGTGTGTGTGTTTAAATGATAATATATTTTATCAATAAGCAATTCAGCAAATGTAGAATAAGGACAAACATGGAATATAAGGTGTTAAACATCGGGAGGGCTTTGGTGATTTGGGAGGATTTTAAAAAGAATTGCATCGCACACAATATACGAAATTTATGTGTTTGTAGTCTTGTGGGGCTAGCTGAATTTCATAACAAGATCATCGGATGTGTGAAGCGATTGATCATTTTCAACACCGATGGTTGGGGCTTTTCTAATATTTGGATTTAATTTGATTTTCTGCGAGGAGTGTTTCTAACTAAGAACACAAACCCCCAAATAAGAATTCTTTTGGAAGCCTATTTGGCGGGAAAATATGGCATATATTTTTTGACGCACTAAGGACTCATATCCTCAAATTGGAAAATTTGAATAAAATGTTTAAATTTAGTTTCTTTTTTTTTTGAAAACAAGTGGGGGTTTCTAGTAAAAAAATTACACAAACTAGAACGAATCTATTGCCTTGGGAGAAGGACAACAATGTCGTAATCGTAATCAAAGTACTTCAAAACTTTCATACAGTAGATATCGAATATAAGGACATCTCATATAAGAAAAAATCGCATATAAGAAAGATTATCAAAAACACCGAGCTTATACTTTCTTATATCCTATAATTCCATATAAGAAAAAAACGCATATAAGAAAGAAATCTTCGTTTTTTTGAGTTTCTTATATCCGATATCCACTGTATATAAATCCGTAAAATTATTTAGTTATGTACAATAAATTAAACTATTACAACAAAAATAAGCAATGTCTCAAGATATACGAAGTGGTTATAACAGGCCCACACAATAATACAGTAGATATCGGATATAAGAAACTCAACAAATGCCGGAGATTTCTTTCTTATATGCGTTTTTTATTATCGGATATAAGAAAGTTGTTTCTTATAAGCATACATACTACTAGAGATTTTTGCAAATAGAGAACAGGACTTCTATGAGAGAGGCATTATAAAATTGTCAACAAATCGGTGTTTTTTGGGCCAAATCGGACATTCCGAAGCATGTTAAATAAAATCCTATAGTTCATATAAAAAGAAATAAATAGGCAAATAATTTGTCATACTTTCTTATATGAAACGTTTTCAAATACCTTTGTCAGCTTTGGTATTTAACAAATATTTCTTATATCAGTGTTTTTCTTATATGAAGCAGTATATATACTGAGGGGATGCAAAAAGGCTCGGTGTTTTTGATAGTATCTCTTATATGCGATGTTTTCTTATGTGAGATGTGCTTATATCCGATATCTGCTGTAGTCGGTTTTAAACTTGTTGAAAAAATTGTATATGTAATTGTTCTTTAATAAAATATGTTGTCAGTCAATAAGAAAATGGAATTTTTAGCCAAATTTGTCAAGTAAAATGCTCATAAAGGGAAGGCATTTTCCAAAGTGTGTTCCTTCAATTTTAGTTAAAGGTATTGCTATTTTTTTGCGTCAGGAACGAATCCTGAATGACAATTTGAAAACATAAAGGATTGGACTGCCAGTTTTTCTCATCTTTACTCCTCCTCCAACTAGTCCACTTTCTATTTAGTATAGAAGGTATAGGACCATATATCATATGTAGACGAAGTCTAAAAATCTTTTAAAAATCGAATCCAGCTTTAATAAGTTAATATTTTTTTTACTTAATTGTTATCCGTATACGAAAAATTTCGTCTAATTTGATAAACACGTGTTAGTTAAGCGAAGGCTTAAAACATTTTTTAATTAGGTCCTGGCACAGTTCGTCCGGCCCATGGCCTATAAATAAGGTCACCAAGATAGTAATCGAAATCGGAAAAAAACAGTTTTTTCTCAAGTCTAATGTCAAAAATTTCGACTTTGTTTACGTTTTCGTAATGGAAGTCAATTCACAATAATGCATTTTGACACCAAACTTGAGAGGTATCGATTATCAGCTGGTCTCCCTGGGTGACCTTATTTATAGGCCATGGTCCGGCCTACATGTCGACTTTTCAAATTCTGCAACGACAGTAATTGTTTTGTTCATGGCCTATAAATAAGGTCACCAAGATAGCAATCGAAATCGGAAAAAGCTGTTTTTTCTCAAGTCTAATGTCAAAAATTTCGACTTTGTTTACGTTTTCGTAATGGAAGTCAATTCATAATAATGCATTTTGACAGCAAACTTGAGAGGTATCGATTATCAGCTGGTCTCCCTGGGTGACCTTATTTATAGGCCATGGTTTTGTTTCTTGTCACTAATATTAAAATGCCCATCTCTGTAATAAATACAGAGTTGTATACCGTTTATTATTCGTTACCATGTGACTTAAGGTTACTTTAAATTATCTAATTTTATATGTAGTATTCGATATTATACGGTGTACACACTATCACTTTTGAATGATCTTTGACCAAAATTTAGATTGTTTGATGATAATCCATAATCCCTAAAATACCAAATACTGGGCGTTGCCGTTATATGGCTATGATTTTTTATACACTTAAGCACAGCGACAATCTGCGTCATCGAAATTTGGTTTCTGATAATTTGGAGTAGATTTAAAAATGACTATCCGTCCGTTTGTCTGTCTAGCTGACTGGTGCGAACGATTACTCTCGAAGGGAGTTATCGATTTCATTCAAACTTTGCACATCGTAATATTTCTTCTAAACTTAAATCTAGTTCAGCCTCATAGAAATATTCGTTTTAGAACCCGCCTGTCTTGCCGGATTACATTCAAAATTTTCATTTCATATTATTTATTCTAAACCTAGATCAAATTCGAAGATGCAGAATGTCGGTTCACTCCTTCCGGCACCTCCCCCCTTTACAAAATGGTCAACATTTTGCTGAAAATCTATTTTATAATATCATACAAATTTTATATTCAGTGAGCGGAGCAGTATAGTCGAAAAGGGCCGACCATATGATACCCTACTACTTCCACGGAACAGTAACGTTTAGAGATCAATAGTTACTTTTTCCTTATCCTTGCATATTTTCGGAATATCTTTTCCCGGTCCTGTTTGATTTGAGCCGCTGAATATTGACCGATCAAAACAACCATTTTAATTGGTTGGTCAGATTCCCTTCCTTCGTGTAAAATTTCGATCAGTGCGAAATATAGGTAGAATAGGTAGATCTCTGTAAATATTTACGTATAACTCCCACGCCCGAGTACAGACAACAATACAATTGGTATCAATAAAATGGTCAACCATTCATCTAGTATATAATACATGGCGTAGCTACTATACAAGGTAGTCTCATTTAAGAAATTGATAATGGCAACCCTTCTTAATATGAAATTCATATATAAATTTCAAATAATTTTATTAAATTAATTCCATAAAATCATATGCATGGCGATTGGCTAATGTTCAACAAATTAAAAAAATATATTTTTTTCTAAAGCACCACATTGTTCTCAAGATTTAAGTAAAAATGTTGCAATTTATATTTATAGATTTTACAGGCAGGGAACTTAAAAATATTAATAAATATAAATGATCCAAAATTGTTTGCCACTTGACACAAGATTTGCGTACATTTCAAAGGAAGATATTTTCGTTTAAATTTTGAAAGCTGAATGTTGGCAAAAACAAATTTATGAAAAAAAAACATTTGGAAACATATGACTGCATGAGACTACCTTGTATAGTTATGCCATGTAAATAGTAGTAACTTCTGGGGTCTATATCCTTTAGGAGAAAATATATTTGCCATAGAATACAAATTTTGTAATTTTCACACAAAAGTCTGGGTCTATTTTACCCGTTAAATATTGACCGGTCTTAATCAAAACATCCTTGCTTATTCCATGGCCAGATGCCTTTCTTTGTATAAAATTTCGTTCCCATTAGTGTCCGGGTTATAATTAAGGCCTCTAGAGCGACCAGAAAAACACAAAAATAAAGTTTTTGGTCCATTTAATCCACTCAGTATTAAGCGATCATCGACTCAGCTAGTCGATCTAGACAAACTCTTGGGACATCACAAAGCCCCCGTAAATCATAGTCTGAGGGTACTTCTCTGTCGGTAGCAACGTCTGACACTTTTTTACTTCTTTGCAAAGACTCTTAATATGGGACTTTTGCGCCAAAATTGAAAGAAAAAAAACATCTGTAAACCAAAATCTTTTGGACAATGGTCAGTATTTTTGGAAGGCATATCCGCACATCTGTTCCAATCCCTTGGTAAATATTCGTAATATACTTGAAAAAAATCA